GCGTACCGGACCGCAAACGGCCACAGAAAATGGGGATCAGCCGCATGGATCACGGAGGTACGAACGACCTCCATGACTAAGCCAATGCGGCGCTCAGCAATCCCGTTTTGCTGAGGGGAGTCCGGAAGCGTGAACGACTGGAGAATGCCCTCCCCACGACAAAAGTCCCGCAAGAGGTCGGAAGAGAACTCACCACCTCTGTTAGAGTGCAAACGCAGGACAGGAAGGTCCTTGCGGAATCGCTCGCGGAGCTGGAGACGGACTGCGCGGATCCAAGGGATCAAGACATCAATGACCTCACCCTTGCTGCACAAGGGGATGACCATGGTGTACCGCGTGTAGTCGTCAACAACCAGGTCGCGGCCCTGTCCACTGACGCAGGCTGGGCCCCACACGTCCATGTGGAGAGTCTGCAGGGGATCAGTCGTCGAAGGAAACAAGGAGTGAGGAGCGGCGCGCTCCCGCCCCTCGACGCAAGGAAGGTAGGGCGGGGCAGGCGAGAGGCAGAGACCTGGGAAGACCAGAGACAAGAAGACGGGAGTGCATGCCACGAAGGCGTGGCAGGGAGGGGTGACCCAGACGGTGGTGCCACAGAAGAGTCTGGTGCGACAGGAGGCGACACGAGAAAGAGGCGGCTACCTGACCTGACGCAGACACTTGAGCAGACGCAGCTACCTGAGGAGGCTCGGTAGCGAGTGTGTACAGACTGGACGCAGCTACCTGACCAGACGCAGGGACCGGAGGAGGCGCAGTAGTCAGTGTGTACAGACTCGACCCTGGCCGACGGGTGAACGTGGCCAGGTGGCGGCCCGTCCGAGAGCAAGTGCAGTGGGTCACACGCTGACCTCCAGGGGTGAACTGGTCAACCCACGCGTCCTGGAGGTCAGCTCCACTCACCAAGTTCGTAGAGAACGAGGGGAGGTGGAGTCCCGACAGCAAGCCCGACGGGGCCGCAGGACACGGTAGAACCGTGGAGGAGTGTGCAAGGACTGGTCCCCCGGAGGGGTCAGCAAGGGAGACCGCAACAGGCCGACGGAGCGGCGTGAGCGTGGTGCTGTCTCTAAAGAAAGAGCGCGAAGCACCAGAGTCAAGTGTGAAGGTGCGAAAGGACTCAGTAGGTGCAGTACCAGAGGGAGGAGACGTACCAGCACCTGGAGCAGCAGACGCACTAGCACCTAGAGCAGCAGCCGCACTAGCACCTAGAGCAGCAGCCACAGTGCCTGGGTCGGGCGGGACACGCAGGTAACAGTCACCCTCAGTAATATCAGCAAGAGCATACATGGCAGCAAGGATAGCATAAAAATCTAGATCAAAGATAGGCACATTCTGCAGAAGCAGATCATGCCAACGAGGAAGATCAACAGCGTCAGGAAACTGGGTACGCCAAGCGTCAGTCAAGCGGCCAAAGCAGCGCTGCGTGGTGTGCGGGAGACCACACACCTCCCCACTACGAGTGCCGGTGCGAAGAACGTACGTGCAGGGACCTGCACCCCCAGACCTCCCACGCCCAGCGTACCACTCACGAAGCTGCTGAACAGACGGGGTCTCACGGGTGCGCAGCTGCTGCTGACGCTGGCTGCCACCAAGGCCTCCACGCTGCGTGGCCGCACCGCGACCAGCACCACCTCCTCCGCCACCTCCACCACCGCTGCCGCCGCCGCCACCTCCTCCGCCACCGCCGCCACGGCCTCCACTGCCGCCACCGACGCCCCCACTCCCGGAACCACCCCCACCACCACCTCCACCTCCTCCACCTCCTCCACCGCTGCCTCCACCGCCCCCTCCACCACCCCTGTTTCCCTTGCCCTTGCCAGTGCGGCGTCGCCCACTAGGGGCAGTAGACGCAGCGCCGACCTCCTCAGTGCCAACGAGGTCGACAGCAGCAGCAGAGGCAACAGAGGGGAGAAGGGGGACAGGGGAACACCCCTCAAAGAAGGGGGTGCGACGGCCGCCGCGAGAAGCACCGACAGCTAAGATACTCTTCTCAGCTGCAGCAAGGCGCTCCTCTAGCAAGTCGACAGTCAGCTCGGTGGGGCAAAGGGAGAGGAAGTGATCCCTGACTGAGGAGAGAGAGTCAGGGAGGCGGGTGACTAGGTAGTAAAGGGTGATGTACATGGGGGGGGAGTTCGTAGGAAGAAACTCAGTGGGAAGGGCAGCGCGGTAGCGAGCGTCACTAGTGCGGAGGTGAGCAACTAGGTCAGCAACTGTGGCAAAGGCGGCAAGGTCAGGAAAAAGGTACGGCAGCATGAGGCGGCTGAGGGCAGCAGTGGTAGGGGAGGAGTAGCGTGCAACTACAGCATCGTACAGAGCCCTAGCACTCTTGTACTGACTAAAGTGCGCGCGCTCAGTAGACGGCAGGTGATTGCGCACAGCAAGACGAGCAGCAGCATCGCGCGTGAGCCACTGCGAGCGAACAGTACTGTCAGCATCAGCAGTAGGGGCAGTAGAGGCGCCAGAAGTGAGATCGAACAGTGAGAGACCATCCTTGCTATCGCACTGTAGGAAAAGCTGCAGATCATCTAGCCAGACCTCAAAGTCAACAGCCCGACCCTCAGCATCAAAGGTAAGAACATTGAGACTAGCCATGACAGGAGAAGCAGCAGGCTAGCAGTAGCAGCAATGGAACTCGGCTAAGCAGGCTAGGCAGGGCGGCGCAGCTCGGCAGGGCGGTGTGGCTCGGCAGCGCGGCGCTCTTACCAGGGGAGAGGCTGGGGCAGGGCCGGGGTAGGGCCGGGGCAGTCCAGGAGCAGGGCCGGGGCAGGCCGGGGCAGTTCAGGAGCAGGGCCGGGGCAGGGCCAGGGCAGGGCCGGGGCAGAGCCGGGGCAGTTCAGGAGCAGGGCCGGGGCAGTGCAGAAGCAGGGCCGGGGCAGGGCCGGGGCAGTTCAGGAGCAGGGCCGGGGCAGGGCCGGGGCAGTTCAGGAGCAGGGCCGGGGCAGGGCCAGGGCAGAGCCGGGCCAGGGCCGGGGCAGTTCAGGGGCAGGGCCGGGGCAGGGCCGGGGCAGGGCCGGGGCAGAGCCGGGGCAGTTCAGGAGCAGGGCCGGGGCAGTGTAGAAGCAGGGCCGGGGTAGTTCAGGGGCAGGGCCGGGGCAGAGCCGGGGCAGGGCCGGGGCAGGGCCTGGGCAGAGCCGGGCCAGGGCCGGGGCAGTTCAGGGGCAGGTCAGGAGCAGGGCCGGGGCAGTGCAGAAGCAGGGCCGGGGCAGTTCAGGAGCAGGGCCGGGGCAGCGTCGGGGAAGAGCTGCGACAGGGCCGCAGCAGGGCCGGCCGGGCCTGAAGGGGCCTCTAACGGGGCATGACTGGGCCGAACGGGGCCTATAACGGGGCCTGACGAGGTCTATAACGGGGCCGAACGGGGCCTATAACGGGGCCTGACGGGCCTTACGGGGCCTTAAACGGGGCCAAATGGGGCCTGACGGGGCCGTACTGGGCCTCTAACGGGGCCCGACGGGGCCGTACGGGGCCTCTAACGGGGCCTGTCGGGGTCTAACGGGGCCTTAAACGGGGCCGAACGGGGCCTGACGGGGCCTTACGGGGCCTTACGGGGCTAACGGGGCCTTACGGGGCCTTAATCCGCGCCCTAAACGGGGCCAAATGGGGCCTGACGGGGCCGTACGGGGCCTCTAACGGGGCCTGACGGGGCCGTACGGGGCCTCTAACGGGGCCTGTCGGGGCCTAACGGGGCCTTAAACGGGGCCGAACGGGGCCTGACGGGGCCTTACGGGGCCTTACGGAGCATAACGGGGCCTTACGGGGCCTTAATCCGCGCCCTAAACGGGGCCTAAAGGGGCCTTACGGGGCCTAACGAGGCCTTAAGGGGCCTTACGGGGCGGGCGCAGGCTCTAAGGGCGGGCGCAGGGGCCGTGACGGGTCTCGAAGGGAAGGTGCGAAGCGCGCGGCAAGTAGGCAGGGGAGAAATTTCAGTGGTGGGCCCTTAAAAAGAAATCTCGAAACTAGCTCTATACCATGTGAGAATGATAGACGAAAGAATGATGAATTAGGAAAACACATAAGTGTTGTACCCTCTAAGGACTACCCCACTACAGCCTAGACCGACTATAGTAAATATATGTTTGACAATTTTTTGCTAGGGCAAAATTACAACTAATGAAGGCTAGCCTTGCTTAGCTCTAGCAATAATGACAAATATTCATCAAGTATATATATGTTTTTTTACTGCAAGGGTGCGCTTATAATAAGTAACGATTTTATAAGGGGTGCGCTTCTAATTGAGGATCGGCCATAAGCGCATTGCTCCATATATAAGCGCATGCGCTTATAATAGGCCTGCGGTTATATCCGGGGCGATACGGTACCCAACTTCTATTCAATGCATTCATTCTCGTTCTAGTTTCTGACAATGCGATCACTTCTTGCTTAGGATTCTAACATGTGGACCCAAAATTTCACCTTTGTAATTAGTATAGATGGGTAAATTACATTGATAACCTGAGCCCTAGATGGGTCCCTCAATGGAATAACCCTGATTTTGAGAGGGTATAATCCTCTTCCTACCCTTTCTGGCATTCTACATGTTAAGGCCCACCACCACCAATTCCAAGCCCTGATGCAGACTCCCTGTAATTATTTTCACGAATCACGATTCCAACATGCCTTGTATTGGAGTATTGGGGCGTTGCTTGGAAATGCCAGCAGGGATCGTGCAACAAGGTGGTAGGGGTGGTGCTGAGGTCCGAGAGAAGGGCTGTGGAGGTTGAGGCGCACTGCTACATGCGCCGCACACTGACTGGCAGCCTCCTTCAAGGCAACAGCAGAGAAACCACCCTTGTCTCGCCCGACGAGGCAGCTGTTGTAGCTACTCCGAGTGAGTGAGAGCGAGTGGGGCGCACACGTGCATGTGGTGCAAGAGCGTGTGGAGTAGTGAGAGGTAGTGTGCGGGTGGGAACTATTGGTAGTGCATGTGCAGCAGGAGGAGCTACTGTGGGGGGTGGTGGAAGGTAGCGGGCGTGGCAGCTAGTAGCGGTGGAAGGTAGCGGGTGTGGCAGCTAGTGGCGGTGGAAGAGGCGGCCGTGGCGGGCGCTGACAGCCTCACAGAGGCGGCAGGGCAGCGAGCGGAAGCCCAGCGCGTCCACGTGGGCGTACTGCCCCCACACCCCACACGTGCGCCAGGCGAACAGGTCCATGTACTTCACTGCTTGGGGGGGAGGCAGGGAGATGGGGAGGGCAGTGAGTGCTGCCAACATGTAGCCCCTGGGCCATGGAACGGGGGTCCACGTGGGCGTACTGCCCCCACACCCCACACGTGCGCCAGGTGAACAGGTCCATGCTGTGTGGAGGGGGAGGGGAGGACAGGGGTTGGAGGGGGGACGGGAGAAGAGAGAGGAGGACAGTGAGTGGTGCGAACGAAGTGTCGCACGCGAACAGGTCCATGCTCAGTTGGAAAATGCCTTTATTGCGTTTTACAAGGAAGCCTTTATACGCCATACATTGCACGGTAGGTTGGTCCGGTTCGCACAAAATATGCAGGCCCGGGCAGTTAAGAACAATATAGAGGTGGGGATGGGCGAGACGCAAAGCATCAACGACCCCATCCTGTCCCTTTTTCAACCCCACTGCCCACAGTATAGACTCGTCATTACGAAGTCGTCATTGCAAAGACCAGAATTGTGTTCGCAGCATCGCAAGCGCAAACCCAAATTTTGCTACATTTTTTTTTCTTCTGTCTGCCCATGCGTATTTCGGCGTATCTACATTATAACGCAGCGTACGTATTTTTGACACTTAAACGGGTCCATGTGCAGCTGATGGCACTCACAGGGGTCGAGGTGCAGCTCCTGCAGGGCGGCAAGCAGCTCGGCGGGGGTGGGAAGCTTCCTCCCGTCGATGTACGAACCGGGCGGCATGAAGTTGTCCACATCAGGTGCACCATAGTAGATGGGCACCGTGCCTTGGGGGGTGGGGGGGTGGGGGGGTGGGAGTTCCGGGGGGGGGGGGGGGAAGGAGGGAAGGGGAAGGTGGGGATGCAATGGCATGTGTTATGGCATGTCCATAGTAGGTATAAGTGCGTTACTTATGCTTATGTTCGGTATGAAGGATAAGTGCGTTACTTAAACTTATGCCAAGGCAGGTGTCATGTGCGACTTATACCCACCTGCTTCAAGCGTGCGGAGAAGCTTCCAGGAAACGAAGCCCAAGAGGCGGGGGTCATCGACAACGAGTTCGAACTTGTAGTTGGAGGAGAGGCAGTGCGACTTCTGTGAGTGCTGAGCGTGCGCTGCCCTGCCACGGGGAGGGACAGGGGAGTGGGGAGGGAGGGGGATATAAGGAAGAGAATGAGGGATGCGTCTTATGGAATGCGAAAAAGAGAGAGAGTTAATCTGGGTCCGTTTGATTCAGTTTGAGACCCAAGCGCGTTTGGTTGGCTTGACCAGCACAGTACCAGCGGGCGGCGTCCTCAAGTGGTTCAAGTCGCAGCGGTTTGGGTTTGGCCCATTTAGGGTGGCCCGGAAATGCAAGGTTTCTCGTTAAGTGATAAGCACTGAGTGGTCCAGGCGGGAAGAAGAGCACAAGATCCCAGGCGACTGACGTGGAGGGGCAGTGACTGACGTGGAGGGGCCAGTGACTGACGTGGAGGGGCAGTGACTGACGTGGAGGGGCAGTGACTGACGTGGAGGGGCCAGTGACTGACGTGGAGGGGCAGTGACTGACGTGGGAGGGGCAGTGACTGACGTGGAGGGGCAGTGACTGACGTGGAGGGGCCAGTGACTGACGTGGAGGGGCAGTGAGTGACGTGGAGGGGCAGTGACTGACGTGGAGGGGCAGTGACTGACGTGGAGGGGCAGTGACTGACGTGGGAGGGGCAGTGACTGACGTGGAGGGGCAGTGACTGACGTGGAGGGGCCAGTGACTGACGTGGAGGGGCAGTGACTGACGTGGAGGGGCAGTGACTGACGTGGAGGGGCAGTGACTGACGTGGAGGGGCAGGTGTCATTGAAGAGCACATCCTCGTTGGAGTTGTTGAAGTTGTTGCCGCACTGCCCAAAGCTGTGCGTCGGTATGTGCGCTGCCACCTGCCAGCACACACACACACACACACACACACACACACACACACACACACACACACACACACACACACACACACACACAGAGGTCATGGGTGTGTGATAATGCGATGCACACACACGCGGCGAGCGGGTTCACCAACGACCGGTGGTGCCGTCTGCACTCTGAGCGCGGCAGGAGCATGCCTTTTGTGCTTCAGAGAAATAGTGAGGTACAGAGATGGCACAGAGGGAGCGAGAAGGGCACGGCATAGTGGGGGCGAGCAGGGCACGGCATAGTGGGAGAGAGAAGGGCACGACATAGTGGGAGCGATAAGGGCACGGCAGTGGGAGCGAGAAGGGCACGGCATAGTGGGAGCGAGAAGGGCACAGCATAGTGGGAGCGAGAAGGGCACGGCATAGTGGGAGCGAGAAGGGCACGGCATAGTGGGAGCGAGAAGGGCACGGCATAGTGGGAGCGAGAAGGGCACGGCATAGTGGGGGCGAGAAGGGCATGGCATAGTGGGAGCGAGAAGGGCACGGCATAGTGGGAGCCACAAGGGCACGGCATAGTGGGAGCGAGAAGGGCATGGCATAGTGGGAGCGAGAAGGGCACGGCATAGTGGGAGCGAGAAGGGCACGGCATAGTGGGAGCAAGAAGGGCACGGCATAGTGGGAGCGAGAAGGGCACGGAATAGTGGGAGCGAGAAGGGCACGGCATAGTGGGTGCGAGAAGGGCACGGCATAGTGGGAGCGAGAGGGGCACGGCATAGTGGGAGCGAGAAGGGCACGGCATAGTGGGAGCGAGAAGGGCACGGCATAGTGGGTGCGAGAAGGGAAAGGCATAGTGGGAGCGAGAAGGGCACGGCATAGTGGGAGCGAGAAGGGCACGGCATAGTGGGAGCGAGAAGGGCACGGAATAGTGGGGCTCTGCATACCTGTGCACCTGGCACCGCCCCACACCGTTCTGCTTACCTGTGTGCCTCTCCGCTCTGCATACCTGTGTGCCTCACCGCTCTGCATACCTGTGTGCCTCTCCGCTCTGCACGATTGTGCATACCTGTGTGCCTGGAGCAAGCAGGGTGGGGTCCTGGCAGTCGTCCTCGTGCCAATACACCAACGTGTCCTGCCGGAGGGGGGGGGAAGGGGGGGGTGCTCGAGCGGGGGCTAGTGCGCACTGGGGGAGGGGCTTGCTCAAGGAAGGTACAAGAAGGTTCTCCATGCTATGCGAGGAATAGGCACGAACATGGAAACGGGGGTGTGATTTTAAGAGGTATGTGAAGAGGATTGGGAATGAGAATGGGAATGGAAATGGAAATGGAAATGGGAGTGGGAGCGGGAGTGGGAGTGGGAAATTGGGAATGGGAGTGGTAATGGGAATGGAAATGGGAGTGGAAATGGGAATGGGAGTGAGAGTGGGAATGGGAATGGGAGTGGGAATGAATAAAGTTCTCAAAGTCACAAAAAGCTTGACCATGAAGGTGGAGAGGAAGAGTTAGCTATCACAGAAGGCATTCACAGGCCAGCCCGGCACCACCAACCAACTGACCACCCGACCTTGCGCACGGCAGAAAGGAAGTGAGAGAGAGAGAGAGAGTAGCGAGAGAGAGGCACGTGGAACTGGAGAGGCACCTTTGCACGGCGCGCAGACAGAAGCGGCGCTGTTGTACCCCCTCTTCCTCTCCCCCACACGCACCTGGAACTTGAGGGGCTGCAGGCCGTGCTGCCTGCCGGTGGGCATGGCATCGGAGAAGCGCGCAAAGGTGAGCTGCACGTCCGCCCCCCGCCCCCACCACACCGCCACGTCCCCCTCCTCCGCCCTGCCGCCCCCCGCCGCCCCCGCCGCCCGCCCCATGTCCAGGTAGATCTGTAGGGGGTCGCCCACCTGGCAGTGGGGGGAGGAAGGGGGGAACGTGGTTGGGAGGACGTGGTTGGGGTGCAGCAGGGTGGTGGGTGGTGGGGTAGGGTGGGTGCAGGGAAAGAGAGAGGTGGAGGGCACGGGAGAGCACAAGGCGAATGGAGGAGAGCGCCACGATGAAGGCAGAATACACGTGAGGAAGCACGGCGATCATGGTGCCCCGCTGCTACCACGGCCCTGCCCACCCACCCCCCTTTCCCCCTCCCGCTCTTCCCCCCTCTGCTTCACTCCCCTCTGCTTTCGCTACTCCGCTTCTCCCCCGGCTGCTGCTCCCCCTTCTGTGCTGTGCTCACCTGCCGGCCCGGCGGGGGGGTGTTGGGGGCAACGTGGAGAGTGGCGTCCGCATGCGATGCCATGGGCTCACTGAACGTTATCTGGACAGGACAAAGGCGTGGGGCGCGGGAGCAGGTGGTGAGGGAGAGGACAGGGGCCACATCTCAAAGCAGCCATGCTGTATCTCCCCTGCCTATATCAATGAAGGACCATTCGAGGGAGACACAAGGAAAGGGGGGAAGGGAGAAGAGGTGCCACAAGGTGAATGCTTACTGCGAATGTCATTCGGTGTACCTGGCATGTCAATTACTGTAGCTGGCATGTCATTTATTGTACCTGGCATGTCCTTTAGTGTACCTGGCATGTCATATATTGTGCCTGGCATGTCATATATTGTACCTGGCATGTCATATATTTTACCTGGCATGTCATATATTGTACCTGGCATGTCACATATTGTACCTGGCATGTCATATATTGTACCTCGCATGTCATATATTGTACCTGGCATGTCATTTATTGTACCTGGCATGTCATATATCGTACCTGGCATGTCATATATTGTACCTGGCATGTCATATATTGTACCTGGCATGTCATATATTGTACCTGGCATGTCATATATCGTACCTGGCATGTCATATATTGTACCTGGCATGTCATTTATTGTACCTGACATGTCATTTAGTGTACCTGGCATGTCATTTAGTGTACCTGGCATGTCATTCGGCACCTCGGGCAGAAATAATATCCCTCAATGCTGCCCGCGTCGAACCCCGAGGCATTGGTGGGGACAACAAAGACGGTGACGTGGCGCAATTTCATTGTGTTGCACGATGGCTCGGTGGGGTCCTGATGGGCGTGCAAGGAGAGAGGAGACTGGGGTTGACTTATGAAGGCCAGAGTTGACTTATGAAGACCAGGGTTGACTTATGAAGACCAGGGTTGACTTATGAAGACCAGGGTTGACTTATGAAGACCAGGGTTGACTTATGAAGACCAGGGTTGACTTATGAAGACCAGGGTTGACTTATGAAGACCAGGGTTGACTTATGAAGGCCATGGTTGACTTATGAAGGCCATGGTTGACTTATGAAGGCGAGTTGGCATATGAAAGCTGTAGTTGACTCATGGAAGGCCAGAGCTGACTTATTAAGGCCAATGCAAGTGAACCAAGAGAGGGATGGGGACGGGTATAAGACGTGCGTTGCTGAAAAAGGGACATGCCTGCAGCGAGGGGGGGGAGGGCGTGCCTGCAGCGAGGGGGGAGGGCGTGCCTGCAGCGAGGGGGGGAGGGCGTGCCTGCAGGGAGGGGTTGGGCGGCCAGGCGAGGGGGTCCTTGAAGCGGTTGATGAGGTGGCGGTGGCGTGCACGGAACGATGCACACCCCACATGGCGCTCCCACAGCCTGGTGGCCGTGCATGGGACATGGGGGCATTGGGGCGTGGGGGCGTGGGGGCGTGGGGGCATGGGGGCAAGGGGGCATGGGGGCAAGGGGGCATGGGGCCATGGGGACAGGGGGACAGGGTGGAATGGGGGAACGGGGGTAATGACATGGGGTCATGCGGGTGAGGGCATGGGGTAGAGGGGTGAGGGCATGGGGTAAGGGCATGGGTGTGCGGGCATGGGGTAGGGGCATGGGGGTGCACGGGAGATGGCATCATCCTCTCTTTCCGCAAACCCTCATCCCCTCAACCCCTCACTCCCTCATCCCCTCAGTCCCTTAACCCCTCACTCCCTCATCCGCGCACTCCCCCATTCCCCCTTCCTGCCGTCCCACTGCACCGCATCTCACATCACTCTGCGCCTGCCCTCCCTCCCGCTCCGCCACACCGTTTCCGCTCACTCCCACTGCGCGCGCACCTGGCGGCGGCTTGCACGTCGAACTTGCCGTCCGTCTGCGTCTCGTTGAACAGCCCGCGCCCGAAGCCCTCGTCACGCCGCGCCGCGTCGCCGTCGGGGCGGCCGAAGTACGTTTCGGCGTCGATCTCGAGGTCTGTGGGGACCAGCGTCGCCGCCACGATCAGTAAACACAGTAACGCTGCGAAGGCTGCGAAGTGTAACGGTCGTTTTCGCGGATGGATGGCGGTGATTGACGAGCGAATGCAGTCGAGTATGTCGGAGAAGAGAACGTGGAAATCTGACACGTGGCTGCGGCTGGCTGGTTCGAGGTCGCCCGTAATGGGACGCGGCTTGTGACGCACCTCCATTGGGACGAACGGTTACTACCGTCACGCGTGGTTACTACGGTTACACGTGGACATTAAAACAACTGGAGTGTCACTAGCCACAGGGCGACACCGTGTCGCGAGTAACTTGAAGAGAGAGCATGACTGGCCTGGGTGCGACGGACAACTGGAGAACGCAATATCGTGGGGAGCGAAGCGCGGCTTGGAGACAGGAGTGGTGAGAGAGGTGTCAACTCGTGGGGCGTGGCGTATGGAGGGGGTGGAGGAGAAATGGCTGGGGGAGGAATGCCTGACGATACGCGATTTGTATGGTATGTAAGGAAAATTCCTTTTCCCTGCTCAGCGCGTACACCACTATTTCCCGCAAACAGCACCCCGCAATAATCCGTTACCACTCGACATTCGCCTTGACACTATTCCCGCCACTGTTCACGACGCGACCCAACCTCGGTTCGGTTGGTAACCCGCGCTCCGGACCTCTGCCTCGACAATCCCCAACCTCGGCGCTAGGCCCGTCGCGCACCCTATTTTCCACATGTTACCGTTACCACTGTAGCTTCGCTAAATATTCTTCGCTCAATCCTTCGCTCATTGTATTCTTATCTCGATAGTGCAATCCTCGCTCGCTCACTCAATTGCATTCGTAACACTTGGTATTCAGAGCCTACGATCTTCTCTCGGACCGCACCCACACCTTCGCTTCCCCACTATCTCAATTTTGGGGGGGGGGGGGGGGGGGGGGGGGGGGGGGGTAGACGTCTCTCAGCGACCAAGAACCGCCGCTCGTAGTGCTCTCTCGTAAGCACGCACGGCCATGACAGAGGCTCTCGCTAAGCTTGCCCGACACCCCCGCCATGGCTGAAATCACTCTCGCGACACTGACGCAAGTGCAGCTCGACCGTCTCGTGCGTCAACTCGAAGATTCGGCCCTCGAAATTGCTACACTCACGGCGGAACGCGACTCCGCTCGCCAGCAATCGACAGTGAATGCACCAGCACCAACCAATGCACCTGCACAGTCAGAGGAGCCGATCATCATCTCATCAGGCACCCCGACACAGAACGACAGCGTGGGACAACGCTAAGGCGTAGCCAGCGATGGCGCCACTCACTCAATGCCTGGCATGGAGAGAAATAGGGCCGCACCAAGCCCACGCGAGCCTCGTGAAGCTCGTCGGCACGTGGAGTTTGCAGCAACAAGCGGCAACCACGACATCATGGCAACAATGCCACTCAAGCCGCAGCGCCCGCCCTGTTTCGATCCAAGCCAACGTGGAGGTGTGACGGTTCAATCGTGGGTCTTGACGATGAACGTGTTTTTCGACGCGAATTACGTCGAGTCGGACGCAGCGAAGATTCGCTATGCTGTTTCGCTACTGAGGGGCCCCGCCATGGACTGGTGGCGAATCATCGTGACGTCGCCACGCGCCTACGAGCCACCGTCGCAAGAGGAAGGGCCCACGGGCCCAGCCGACACCAAGAGTTCATTTTGCGAGACAGCCCAGTACAGCACGTGGGATGCGTGGTGCACAGGGCTTCGGGCGCGCTTCGAGCCGATCGCGGCTTCTATTTCGACGCGTCAGAGACTGCGTACTTGGCGGCAGCTCGAATCAGTTCAAGACTACACAAGTGGTTTTCTCGCATTATGCGAGCAAGTCGGCTACATGCATGAAGAGGAGCGGGTGGACCGTTATGTCGGAGGGCTAAAGCCGGACATCTCGCACGAAATTATGCTACGCGGGCTCTCAAATTTTAACGAGATCCTCGCGCTCGCCGAGAAAATCGACATTCTGCGCCGTCCGAGACCGGGGTCCTACTATGGACATCGTCCTCGGGGACAAATCGAGCACGCCACCGTACAGGCCGTTGCGACAAATGCAGCTGCCGCACCGTTTAAGGGGCGCTGCTTTGCTTGCAATCGGCCGGGCCATCGCAAGAGCGAATGCCCAGAGGAGCTGAGGCGCCGCGGAACGGAGCAGGGGCGGGAGTCTCAGAGGCAGGGAAACGCCAGCAGTCAATAGAAGTTGGGCCAACTACTGACGAGACTACCTGCTCGCCCAACCTCACCGACCCTCACCGAGTCACAGTACCGATTCACGCTATCAATCGGGCTCGGATGAATAAGGAGGGTACAACGACGGATTGCCCAGTACTGATCCACGGGAAAATACAGAGAGCAGCAGTGAAGTTTTTTATAGACGGAGGCGCAAGTTGTCAGAATAGTGAAGGAAGGAATGACTGAACTAGCAAGCAGGTGGGTACAAGTAGGAAACCTAAAAGTGTTGTACCCTAAATGAACTACCCCAATACAGCCTAGACAGACTATAGCATATAAGTTTGACACACCCCCATAGGCAAAGTGGGGGAGAACAAGAGGTCACAAGACCGGTCAAGAAAGGCAAAGCAAGCTCAGGGTGGATCACGACGTCACCACGCATTCTGAGCACAAGCAAATGGCCACAAGGCCAGTTCACATGCAGAGTTATATAAAGGAGAACAAGCAATACAGTGAACACAACCTAGCAAGTGTAAGCATGCAGGTATATGTATCGAGATCAAAGTACAAGCAGAGTCAAGAAGTAAGCAAGTGAGGCACAGTAGGTACAAGACCTAGAACAGTACAGAAACGCTGATGATCACAAGGCTGAAGTGCCTTGGTGAAAACATCAGCAGTGTTGGCCCGAGTGGCCACGTAAGCAAGACGAAGCTGACCACGCTGCTGCAACTCTCGAGCAAGGAAGTAGCGCAGAGCGATGTGCTTCGTTCTGTGCTCCAGTCTGTGCTCCTGACACAAGGCAATCATGGCCTTGTTGTCGACGTAGAGCACTGGAGGAGAACAAGGCGGCTCTCCCAGGTCGGTCAGCAGGTAGGTGAGCCAGCGTAACTCCTGTGCAGCCATGGCCCCTGCGTAGATCTCAGCCTCTTAACTGGAGCTGAGAACAGAAGACGAGCGGGTAGACCGCCAAGAGACAGAGCTGGAGCCAAGGCTGAAGGTGTAACCCTGTGACGACCGTTGCGTAGTCAAGTCGTCAGCCCAGGAAGCATCTGCGTGACCAGTGAGGACAACTCGAGCCCGTCCTCCAAGCACGAGCCCCATGCGCGACGTACTTCACAAGTAGCGCAACACCCTCTTAGCTGCATCCATGTGCTCCTTCCTGTGTCTACCAGGAGTGACATAGCGTGCTAGAATGCTAAGAGGGTAGGCAAGGTCAGGTCAAGTGCAGGTCATCAGGTACATGAGGCAGCCCACAAGCTTTGGGCCACTCGGCTCTACGGACTCGTCTGAAGGTGGAGCTGAGAGCGAGTGACCGGTAGGCAGAGGAGTGGACTGTGGCGAGGAGTACGTGAAGCCGAAGCGCTGAAGGACCTGCTGCACCATGTGTGACTGAGTCAAGGTAATGGTGCGCTGTGCTTTGTCCCGAGTGATTCGCAAGCCAAGATAGCTTGTCAGCTCACCCAGGTCTGTGCACGTGTGTCTCTTCTGTAGCTCCGACTTCACGTGGGCGAGTGCCTCAGTGTCAGCAGTAGCAAAGACCAAGTCGCCTACGTACACGAGAACGTAGAACGGCGGCAGAGTGGTGTCGGTGCGTAGAAACAGCGACGGGTCAGCAGTGGAAGGAGCAAACCCAAGAGCAGCAAGAGTCGTCCTCAGTGTGTCGTGCCACTCACGGGGTGCCTGGCGGAGACCGTAGACTGGCCGCCGGAGGCTCCATTGGGTACCAGCAGGAAACGACCCAGTGAAGCCAGGTGGGCGGCGCAGCCAGATCTCCTCGTGCAGGCTGCCTTGTAGGAAGGCTGTGCTGAAGTCAAGAGAGTGTAGCTCGTAGTCACGCTGAGCAGCGACGTGCAGCAGCACCCGAAGAGTGGTCATCTTTGGGGTAGGGGAGAAGGTCTGGAAGAAGTCAACTCCCTATCGATGACTGAAGCCTCGTGCAACGTAATGCGCCTTGAAGGCAGGCAGAGAACCCGGCGGCCGCTTCACCCTGAAAATCCACATGCCACTGACGATGTTTACCCCAGGCGGGGGAACCTCGTCGACGTAGGTGCCTGTGGACTTCCAGGAAGCCATCTCTGTGTCCATGGCTGTCTGCCATTGAGAGGAGTAGGGACCCTCTATCGCCTCTGCGTAAGAGCGCGGGGTCGGGATGTCTGGTGCATCCGGGTCTCCCTCAGGGGCAAGCAGCATGGACACGAGATGAGGTAAAGCAGCTGCAAAGCACTCAAACTCCTCCTGTTTGTCCTCAAGGACGCCCGTGCCAAGAGCACACTCACCCCCGACGGACCGAGGACAGACAGACACAGACTCAGACTCAGCAACAAGACTAGCGGCGTAGTCTAGACGACAGGCGGCAGCAAAGTCAACAAGCTCAGCAACTAGAGCAGACGCAGCAGTGGACTCAAACGAAGGTTCAGTGACAGCAGTGGCCAGAAAACGCGTGATAGTAGGACTAGCAGCACGAAGGGAGTCAGACTCCGGGTCCGGACCGTCAGGAAGAGAAGACCCAGGAGGAGACGGCTGAGGGACACGCTGTGGAGCAGTGGAAGGACAGAGAGTCATATAGTGAGTGCCGGGGACAGGAGGAGGACGCTGACGCGGAACACGTCGACCAGTGAAACAGTGCAAACAGGCGACTCAGGACGAGACTCAGGTGACGCAGGACGAGACTCGGGCGACGTAGGACGAGACTCAGGCTCACGACGCTCTGTAAGACCTTTAGTCGGTCCAGAGTAAGGAGAAGGACCAGGCAGTGGAGAGGCTGGCTGTAACTGCGACTGTCACTAGACAGGCAGTGGACTCAGTAAGGGAGGAGTAGGACCAGTAGAAGGCGGGAGTCCAAGAACCTGCTGAAGGAGCGGAACGTAGTACGGCTGTGGCCGCGCAGCGCCTCCAGAGACAGCAGAGACAGCACCAGTACCCTCAGCTCCAGGGTCTCCAGCTACAACTCCCGCAGCACCACCAGCTCCAGTACCTCCAGCAGCTCCAGCTCCAGCAGCACCTCCAGTAGCAACAGCTCCAGCAC